GAGCTAATTTTAAGTTGGAAGCAATTTGAACAACTATGCTAGTTTGAAAAAAAAATGTCTTCAATGTTTTATATTCAAGAATGGCAAAATTAAACACACACATAATTTTTTATCCACACTATTTCTTCTTGAAATACTTAAATAAAGTAATCATACCCTCCAGAAATCAGTATTAAATCAGCCTTTCCACAATTAGTGTGCTAACATTAAGCTAGAAAATCAATAGCCAGTCCAGCTTTAGTTCAATTGAAAGAAAAATATGGATATTCTGGAGTGTAACTGGAACCCTAGCTGTCTTCCAGGATGACTCCTGGCACACTAGGCTTCCTTTCCAATCCTCCAAATATCTTTCCTGCTCCATTACCCTCAAGCTTCTCCTGCCATTTTGTAAATTCATAAGGTTTTAAAATAACTTCTCTGAAAGACCTACTAATACCATTAGAAATTTTCACTTACCAAACATATTATTTAGACATTTCAGTGACGTGTAAATCATAATGTGTTTCAACATTAGTCCTCAAAGTTTTAATAATTGAGTAATTTAAAAAAGTCAATACTCTTAAGTTAAAAATGAATTCACCTGTACACCACTTTATGAAGGGCGGCTTGGGCAAGATAAATTACAATAAAGAAAATTATAAGGGCACTTTGGAGTAACAATACTCTGAACAGGACCAAGGTTAGAACACCCACTGACTTCTTAACCACAGCACTGTCGGTTAAAAGGTACTTTCGCCATGCAATTCCAAATCACATACTTCAGGAATCTTACTCATTATCCATAGGAGAAATATGGAATCATAGCAGTTTAGAGCTAGAAGAACCTCAGAAGTGGTTTATCCTCCTCATTTTACAGATCGGGGAATGGAGCCCCGAGAGGGGTGGTGATTTGGCAAAGGTTATAGAGCCCACAGAGCTGAAGCCAGCTGGACAACGCCAGGCTCAGTGTACCTTCCCTTCCATATGACTGCATGGGCTTCCGCACCAGGCCGCCTTATCAGATGACAGCAGTTCTTTTTTGATCTATATCTCTTTACCACACTTTAAAACATAAGTTTGGAAAAATGGCTCAAGGTACATAAGCTTTTTCTCTTATCGTCCAGTCTAGAGTGTTTAAACTTGTTAAATATTAGCGATATGTTAACAACAGTCCAATTACTTCATCGTATAAATTGGAATTACTATTTTAAAGGGAATTCAGGTATTATCTTTATTCTTGCTTAGTGAACAAAACCTCACATCCTTATAATCATGGTGTTTTATTATTCTATATTACTGACACAAATCACATCTGTCAAAATGTTTTCTATTTTTGCAGAAATAATAATTTCTGTAGTATACATATGTTTTCACTTTTTTTATTCAACTCTACTTCTATCAGTACATAAGCAGAAATCTCTTCTATGTTCTAGAAAAAAAGATTCATTTTAAAGCTAATAGGACCACTGGCCCAGTGGCATGTTGGTTGAGAGTTGGCTTGGGACGCCAGCGCTGAGCAGTTGGGCCCGGGTTTGGATCCCACATGTGAGCCGGTGACGCTGTGCCCTCTGCAACTATGATGGTGAATGGCAGCTCGACCTGGAGCTGGGCTGCCATGAGTCACTGGCAACGGTGTAGGCTGCAGTGGGGCTGGCCGGCAGCTGGTATGTGCTTTTGTGAGCTACCGTGAGCTGCTGTGAGCTGCCGTGAGTGGCCATCCAATGGCCAGTGAGCGACTGCCTCACCCAGGAAGAGCGCAATGATAATGCCAACATGGGCCGGTGAAGCAGCGTCCTCCACAACTAGACTGAAGAAAGAAAAAAAAACGGCAGCTTGTCTGTTCCCCTCCCCTAATTCCCCAATAAAAATCTTAAATAAATAAATAAAGCTAATAAGAAATTGACTCTCTTGGATAAATGAGCAATAATTCATGGAGATAATCAGGTGTTCTGAATGAAAAAAATTAAGTGATTTTTATATTTAATGTCATTAGCTTGTTAGCAGTAAATCTAAAGAAAATCACTAATTCTTCAAATTAAAGAAAACGTAATAGTGAAGAAACGGTTGACATCAAACATTACTAAGTCAGATCTTTGAAGATGCAGATTTTAAAAAGAAAACAGTAGAGTACTAACCTCTAATCATGATGGAGAATTTTCCACCACTTTAAGAATGAAGATTAAAATGAAACTTTATCACTATATTATTGCCTCTAAACAGTACATTGAAATTCAAAAACATACTGTTTTTGGAGACACATATATGCTATATGTGTCACATGTATTGGATTTTTTTCCCTCCTCTATTTAGAAAACATTTATCAAACACCTATATGTGCATGGCACTGTGCTATGCACTGAGGATATCAAAATAATTAGGATGTGGTCCTTACCCTCAGGAAGTTCATTCACAATCTATGGCAGAGGCAGACTTGTAAAAACTGATCAAAATATAATATGACAAGTGTTACATAGTGTTGGTAATGGCCATGATACAGTGGAGGGGAAGGAGAAGAAAACTGTATGTTAATCAAGACGGAACCAGGGTTTCTTTCTCAAAGGCCTTTCCACTATCTAGAATGTTCTGATAACATAACATTTGAATACATTACACAAGCTGTGTGTTTACCAATGTGCGATACTGAAGTAAAATCTTAAAAAAAAATATATATCCTATTTATTCAGTGTTAGATGCATATTCTAGTGATGGTAACATGTTAATTGTAGTTTAAATTCTTTACATGCATGAAGCTTTACAAAATAGCTGTGATAAATACAGAGAATTAATTTTAAGTTTCAAACATAAAGTGTAAAATTGTTTTAGTTAAGAAAATGAATTCCACTAAAAATGTAAGTAACATTCAAAGAAACTGTGTCAAAATTCTCTTTCTCATTGGCAAACCATGAAATTTTTTTACAAGCCATTATTTCAAGACAGCTGTGAGCCAGGCAACCTTTGATGGTTAACCTACGTGGCACCACCTAGTTGATATAGCAGTGAGGCTTTTGTGAATTACGTTACAGGAACATGTGCATCTCCCTTATTAAATGCTTATCTCAACATGAACCAAACTGTGCACCAATAGAATCACTGCCAAATTAGTTGATGTTTACTTTGAACACACTGACCTTTGGGAAATGAATTCCTTTTTTCTTCTTTAATATTTAATGTCTGTTTGGCAATATTTCTCATAGCCCACTGATCGACTGCCAGTGAAGTGATCCACAGACCATACATCACCATCGTTTTGAATTCTTGGGTCATGGAGACCAATGCATCATTCACATCTGGACTGTTTGTATATAACAATTTTTAAATGGCATATTTTGGTGATATCTTGATTTTTAAAAAACCGTGAAATCCCACTTGTCTCTAAAGCCTGGGTCACAAATATTCATAACCCAGAGCTCTGCATCCTGGGACCAATTCTGTCCACTAGACAACAAAGCAAATACAGGCGCTCCTGCCACCTACTGTCAGGAAAGCCCCTAAGAGACAGGATCACTCTAGAGCCAGAGAAGCTGTTTCCACTCTTGCACGTGAACGCACGGTAATCAGCACATAGGTCAAGAGTCAGGTCCTGGCACTTATCGCTAAGCACTTTCTCTAAAAACAACTTTGAAACGTTTCTTAAAGGGATGTAGGGAGGCGACATCGTTCTTAACAATACCAAGGGACTGAGCGGAGACCCTGGAGCTGCTGGACCGGCAGGGGTCCCTCTGTCCCTCAGTTCGCCCGCGTCTGTGTGGCCCCTGAGCGCACCAGGGTCTACATAGTTCTGGGCGCCTCTGACCTGAAGTTCCAGAACAGGTCCTGCTCTCGTACCCGACGGGAGAAACACCTAAGAGAGCGTCCCCCGCCAGCCTCCGGCCAACCCCCAAGAAAGCCTTCACTCAGCTTAGAATCCAGCTCTGCAGGGACTTCCAGCAGCCCAGGCACTTCAGTTACCCCGAAGGGTCCCCAGAACGTCCCCAAGGACCTCAGAAGGTTCCCAAGCCGCTGTCCAGCCATGCTGCTCCCACAGCTTCCCAAAGATTCCTAGCAGAATTCCCAGAAGCCTGTTTCTAGCCAGCGATCCGGGATCCGGGGTCCCGCCCGTCCCCACCCCCCACGCTCTTACCCGCTCCACCGGGCTGCACTCCTTGGATTAGGGCTCCCTCGGTTCAGGGATGAGACTTTTCTCTACCCTAGCGCTGCGTCTTCACACGTGCGCTCCGCGCGGGAGCCGGGTCTCCCCATCCTGGCGGACATCTCTGTGGCCCCCGAGCGCCGCGGACGGGCCGCAGTCTCCCCGCGTCCAGCCGGGTCCCCCCCCCACCCCCCGGCCACCGGGCGGCGCCTGGGCGCTCGGAGTCCCACCGTGTGCCACACCCCGTGCCCGCTGAGCTCCGCCTCCCGCGTCTGCTCCCCGTCTACGCACCTCCTTGCGGGGCTTTCCACATCTTCACACCTACCCGGCACCTGCACCCGCACCTCCACCTGCATCCGAACTCGCATCCACCCGCAACTGCATCCCACCAGTCCCCCTCCGCGTTGGGGACCAGACCACCTCCCTCCCCCAGCCCCGCCCTCCCTCCCCCAACCCTCCGCACTGGGCGAGGCAGGGAGCCCAGCCCTGGTGACTGCTAGCCCTGACAGTGGAGGGGTGACCCGGGGGCGCACGGTCAGGACCAGGTGACTCCCGTCCTCCCGGCCTGCGGCTCTCGGGAGCTACCAGCCAGGACGCGGGTGCAGACAGCCGCCCGGGTGACCCTCTTCCCCCGCCCCGGGTGCGGACCGGAGGGCGCAGCAGATGCGATTGGGACGCGGGTGGGGCGCTGGGGACGCAGCCCCGAGGACTATAAATAGCTTGGACAGCCTGGCTTGGGTCAAGCACACTAGCAGGGGCACAATCGGAAGACTTTTGATGTTTCTAAAAGTTTCCATGCGCTTGAGACTTGGCCCAGCCGAGGGGACTGGAGAGTCTCCGGAGGTCACTTATTCCCCCCTGTCCTGGTGATCGTGCGGGACCCCAGCCTAACCTGCTGGCATCTGGGTGAAGGTTTAAGGTCTGTCTTCCTTCCGCCTCAGGGCTGACATCACCCCACTTCACATGGAACCTGGGACACAGGCCACCACAAGGGAGGACCCGTCCCGCCTGTGACTGTCCGACTCCCCTAGAACCTTCTGCATTGTGGTCACTCCCCAGGGTCCAGCACCGGCCTGGCCCACACAGGGACTTTCAGAGATATCAGAGGACTGAGCTCCGCTGGCCCCTCTAACACCTGGAAATGAGCTCAGAACTCCCTTTGCGAGGGCGGATTCACTGCAGGAACCGGGCAGAACCGGAGTCTTGGTCACTAATCGCTAAAGGTTTTTTTTTAAAAACAAACAAACAACAACAACAACAACAACAAAACAACAACTTTAAAACGTTTCTTAAAAGGATGTAGGGAGGCGACATCGTTCCTAACAACTGCAAGGGTCTGAACCGAGAGCCTGGCGCTGCTGGTCCTGCTGGGATATCTGTTTCTCTCCCCCGCAGCTGCGTGATCACTGAGCGCTCCGGGGTCTACATAGTTCTGGGACCTCTCGGACATGAAGTTCTAGAGCAAGTGCTGCACCCCCACCCGAGGGAGACACCCCCAGGACAGCATTCCCTCCCAGTTTTCAGCAACCCCCCTTAAAAGCCTTCGCTCAGCTGAGAACCCCGCTCTGCAGGTACCTCCAGCAGCCCAGTGACCTCAATCACCCCGAAGGATGCTCAGAACGTCCCCAAGCCGCTGTCCAGCCCTGTTGAGACCACGGTTCCCAAAGATTCCCAGCAGAATTCTCCAGGGCAGGTTTTCAGCGGTCCAGGGTTCGGGGTTCCGCCTGTCACCCCACCCCACCCCACCCAGCGCCCTTACCGGCTCCTCTGGTTCGCGCTGCTCTGAGTAGGGCTTCAGATCCTGACCCAGACTTTATCCACCTGTACCTGTGCAGGACCACGCCAGGTAACCGCGGACCCCACTGCCGGCCACACCCCGAGCCCACCCCGCTCCGCCTTCCGCGACCTTACACTCGCAGTGCACGTGCACCCGCATCCCCAACGCCACCCGCATCTCACCTGAACCCGCATCCCCACCCCCATTCGCACCCGCATCACTCCCGCACTCCCGCCCCAGTTGGGAGCAGCCCCAGCCCCCCACATCCGGCACGTAGGCCGGCAGGGTGCCCAGCCCTGGTGGCTGCTGTCCCCTGACACCTGCGGGTAGGCGCAGGACCACAAGGCCTGGCAGTTGCCTTTCCTTGACAGGCAAGGAGAGGAGCAGGAGCCAGTGACCCCAGTGACTGCTGTCCTCTGACAACTGAGGGGATACGAGGGGCCCTTGGTGCTGGTGGCTGCTGTCCCTTGACAGCAGAGGGGTGACCCGGAGGCGCACAGCACAGCCCAGGTGACGCCCAACCTCGCAGCCTGAGACTCTCAGGCACCCACGGCAGGGACCCAGGTGCAGGGGGTGGGACGGACGGCTCCATTCGCTGGTCCGGGGCACGGACCAGCCGGCCCAACAGGTGAGGTCCCGCCAATGGCCAGGCTTTGGGGACACAGCCCCAGGGTCTATAAATAGCGCCCCCAAGCTGGTTCGAGTAAAACACACTCAGCGGGCTCATAGTTAGAGGGCTTTCCGTGTTTTTTAAGCTTTTGTTTCCATGCGCTTGAGACATGGCTTCGCCAAGGGGACTGGAGGGTTTCCGGAGATTCCCCCATTCCCACTGGTCCTGATGGCCTGCAGGAACTCAGCCTAACCTACTGGCCTCCAGGTGGGGGTTTAGGGTCTGTCTTCGTTCCTTCTCAGGGCTGACATCACCGCACTTCACAGGGAACCTGGGACACAAGCCATCAGCGAGGAAGGACCTGTCTCCTCCTGTGACTTTCCGACTCCTCTAGAACCTTCTGCATTGTGGTCACTCCCCAGGGTCCAGCACCAGCCTGGCCCACACAGGGACTTTCAGAGATATCAGAGGACTGAGCTCCGCTGGCCCCTCTAACACCTGGAAATGAGCTCAGAACTCCCTTAGTGAGGGCGGATTCACTGCAGGAATGGGGCAGACCTGGAGTCTCTGGTCTTTTCAAATCCCCAGGGAGCATCTTCCAGAGGGCTGCCTGCAGTGGGGCTGCGAGCTGTTCTGATTAGCAACCCCCTGCCATGGAGAACTTACCTGTTCAGGGGTGCCAAGGAGAAAGAACACAGCGTCCACAGGCGCATGTGAGAGCTCTTACCCTTGGAACTCGAGGTGTATGTGTGTAGGAGGATAGTTTTGTAGACTCTGTTTCCTTAAACTGAGAAATATATTCTAGAAGGTCTTCAGATATTCTATTCTCTCTGAGAAGCACGAGATGAGTCTCTATTTGTATTTTCTTGATCACAAAAGAATGAAAAGTTTGTAATACTTACAGTCTCCTACAGCTATTATTGGGATTCCAGAGGGGACTATGGAACTATAGTACTGCAACTATTGGGGTGTTGGAAAAGTCATGACGCATTTTCGCAACGAAAAACAGAAAAAATACGTCATGACTTTTCCGACAACCAATATTTTAAACTTTTTATTGAAATATGGAGTTAAAATGATTTGTGTTGGGAAGCAAATGTAGACATGCAGAGTAAAAGGAGGAAGGCCCATTTGTCGGCCCTGCTTGGAAGTCTCAGTCTGAGCACCTGGTGTGTACCCTCCAGTTTTAGTTCTCTACCATGACAGAGTGCCTCTTGGGGGTCTTCAGGAGCAAAAGCAAAATCATGAAAATGGCAGGCCTCTTCCAGGAAAAGACCACAGACTAGTGGTTAGTTCGGCCTCTTCCGTTTCTTTGAGAAGCTGAATAACCCATCAAGGACTCTTTCTACCACTTGGTAACATGACTGGGTGACAGACAGGTTTCTCAGAGCCCAGGATCCAGACTAGAAGCTGCAGGGACAGGGAAGTCGCTCGCTGCTGCCACCTGCTGTCAGCAAGGGTCACTGCAGGGCGCTGCCTCCTCCAGTCCCCTGGGTCCACTCAGCCATGGGGGGCCCAGCCAGCACCAGCCTCCTCAGGACAGTCCTGCCCCTGCACAGGCACATCCACCCTCCATAAAGCCTGACCGCTCCCCTGGCTCTGCAGTTTGTATTTCCAGTTTGTGGGTATCGAGCCATTGTTGCTTTGTTCGGGTAACCAGAAAAATAAATGAAAAACAAAAACACACTTACACATACATGACTTCCTCTCACAGTGGTACAAGGAGCGGTATGAGCAAACTCCCATAATCTCTGGCTACGGTCAGTGGATTTGCACAAGGTTCTTATGGAGGTTTTCCCTCGGGTTTCTGTCACCTGGATTTTGGAATCTCACCACCTAGGACTGTAAATGCCACAGTCACATGACTTCTTACTCATCACTCATCTGTGTGGGGATCGCTTATTTTAAAAAGCATTTCAAATCATCATCTAATGTGAACACAGCAGCTCTTTAAAGATGCAGTTATTTGCTTTATTTCCCTTATACTGTTGGGGTAAAACTTCCACTTACATTTCTTACGCCCCTTATTGATTATGATATCCACATTTCCAAACCAAAATGGAAGTGTAGGGCAATTTTGAATCACAGTAACTCAAAAAAGGAGGAATTTTCCCATTTGTCTGATGTTACCAAAAGAGAGAGCTATCACTTTGAACAGAGATTTACACACCCACGTTCACAGCATCACTGTTCACAATGGCTAACAGTGGAAGCAACCCACGTGACCAAGCACAGAGGGTGGGTAAACACATGTGGTCTATACGTACCATGGATGTTATTCAGCCTTAAAAACGAAGGAGATCCTGTCACCTGCTACGTCATGTGTGAACCTGGAGGACATTACGCTCAATGCAATAAGCCAGTCACAGGAGGACAAGCACTGTGCGATCCCACCTACCTGAGGCCCCAGAGCAGTCAGATCATAGGGTCAGAGAATGGAATGGTGGGTGTGTGTGTGTGGGGGGGTTTGGCAAAGTGGACATGAGAAATTAGTTTCAATGGGGACAGTTTCAGTTTGGCAGAGGGATGGTGGTAATGTTTGCACAATACCATGAATGTACTTCAAAATATACCCTTAAAATTTGTTAATATGATGAATTTTATGTTATGTATACTTTACCATACTTTTTTAAAAAAGATTTTTATTGGGGAATTGGGGGATGGGAACAGCACTGGGGAATTGTGGGAAGGGGAACAGACAAGTTGCTGTCCTTTTGTTCTTCATTCTAGTTGTGGAGGATGTTGCTTCACTGGCCCAAGTTGGCACCATCATTGCATTCTTCCCCAGTGAGGCCGATCAGTACCGGCTCCTGGACGGCTGTTCACTGCGGCTGCTTGCCGCTTACACTGGCTGTTGGCTACACACGGTAGCCCATGGCAACCCACTGCATCAGGGGCTGCAGCCTACACCATAGCTGGTGACTCACAGCAGCCCAGCTCCAGGTCGAGATGTTGTTCAGCATCTTAGCTGTAGAAGGCAGTGTCACTGGCCCTCATATGTGGGATCCAAACCGGGGCCCTCTGGCATCCCTAGGCAGCTCTTAACCAACGCACCACTCGGCCAGCCCCCATAATTTTTTAATGTGAACAAAATAGAGATCTCTTTTCTCAAGACAGGAGACGAAGGTAGGTCTCCACTGAAAGACATGGACTGATCATAAAAAGTTAAAAAGTATTCTGGACTCAAGCACACATCAAACACTCCTAATGTCTGTGTCCTGTTTTATTAGGGCTATAATGCACCTAAACGCATTCCTAAGCCCATATGTACATTAACTGTAAACATTACTAGGACAAGCCTGAGCACACAGCTGAGTCTTTCCCTGCCCCGTCAGAAACAGTCACATTCAAGTCCGGTCAAGTCAGTGAGGGAAGAAGCACCAGAACCTCACCCTGCCTCCAATCCTGGTGGCTGGCAGTGACCTTTCCCAACTCAGGAGTATTCAGAGTGCTCTCCGCAGCACGTCCCAAGTAGGATCGAGGAAAAAAGGACACACATGTCTCTGTGTAGCCCAAACCATGATAGTCACTGTTACGTTACTGCAACTTGGGTCGCCCAGGTGACAGTCGTCAGGCCCTGGCAGCAGACAGGGATTTGGAACCATGGTGAAAGCCAGGTCTTTCTGACAGTGCACACAGGGCCCACTGGGTCCCCCTTGAGGATGGGGGAGAGGGTAGGGCTGCAGGTAGGCACGTATGGAGTGAGGCCCGAGGGCCAGGACCAGGCTGGCTTTTCTGTTCCAGTGGCAGACACTGTCTGTCCCCCATCCCTTCCGGAGTGTCC